ATAGACAGACAATGACAAAAAGAGGAGTTTGAGTGTAAAGAGTAGTAGATAGACAATGACAAAAAATGAGATTGCATCGGAAACAGCGTAAGCATGAATCTTCCAGTAAAGCCAATCGACAACTGGTCAAGAGGAATCTGCCGTCGTCTTCTGGTGGAACCGACCGACCTCGGAATCTCTTCACCAAACACTTTCACTCGACATGGAAGTAAGTTACAGAATGAAGAAATCCACTCAAAAGGGCCCAGGGGAAGTAGGTCTAAATGAGCAAGCAATAAATTGGGATATGGAAGATGTGATTTGGGGATATGTGATAAACGAATAAATGCCATCAGCTGACAATCGGCCAGAGGATCAACTTTACTTGTCTCTTTGACGAGTTGTGGTGTGATGCTAAGAACGGCAGCGTCTGCGAATGTACCAACTCCACGGTGCGATTGTGCAAACCAGCATGCAAACTATGGGCTCCAGACAAGGTGCCATCCTCTAGACGGCCCTGACGATGCGACAACGTGGAACAACTTCCTTAGGGACGCTCTATTTTGGAAAGGTAGGGAGTCGTCTCGATGGGCAAGCTTGTCGCCCAATCCTGCATCATCTCATCCGACAGTCCGACCCATCATAAGCGTATGATTCATACCCTTTTCACAGTTTTCGTATCGCCACCACTTCGCCCCTTGCGACGAACTACACAAGCAACGGTACTTCTCATCAAACCGATCACTTTTGCGCATGGAACTGGTGACAATCGAGTGGGATCGCGTCACTCGTGAATGTTTGTGCAAATGAGGAAGAAATTCCACACTGGATCCCACCAGAAGATGTCCACCAGCAGATTCCTCTTGGCCAGCAAGACTCTCTTCAATCAGAGCAGGCCATATTTAAGCCAAAAATTTTGGAAAATACTAACAAAATTCCTACCGAAAATCTATGCATTCTTGTGATTTGTAAGGGATTCGGTTAGCTCAATTCAATCTGAAAGTGTGTGTGTGTGTGTGTGTGTACTTTATGTGTGAAATTGTGTACGAGACCAGTAGTGATAGGTCAAGGTGATGAGAAGAGAGTGCTTGTTGGACGTAGTGTTTCCAAGTTTGTCGGAGCATCAAGGAGGCCTTGTGGAACGTACTTGGTCGTGCGTCATCTGCCAGCGTACTCGCCATTTCCAGCATCCGACCATTCACTTGGCACATTGACAAGCGTTTCGCCGGCATCGCAATCGACATCGTCAATAAGCAGAAAAACGTTTAGGAATGTACCGAGTCAAGGGTCTGACGCACGATCAAGTAAGTTCCACAAAGTCGGCCTGATGCTCCGAGTGAGTTGGGAAAACCATGTCAAATTAGCAACGCCATGTCATCTTGGTCTTCATGTCTACGAACTTTTTGATATTTTACCAATCACTCCGTTTACGAGGTGTCGGAAACACGTCCGGTTGGGTTGAGGAACTTTATTTTATGTTTTCACACACACACACACACACAAATTAGGATCGACGTATGGCTTGAATCAACCAAATCACATGATACCCCATCAAAATGCACATCTACAGCATTCATAAACTGATTGATGATGCTCGCCATGCCGGACGAATGTTTGACACATTTTGATCAGCACAAAAAGATTTTCCCAGTACAGCCAGGAGGGATCTGTTGTTAGGTTGGAACGAGCCCCGAAGCATGTCATGACGCTCATTTTTATTCAAAACATAATCAAGCGAGTACTCGATACCCAACTCTCCTTCGACTGACTTGCTTGCACCCGTTCTCTTGACGACAAACTTCAAGACTGCAACTCTCAAGACGTCTTCGTTCAACTCGCATCGTCTGACCAAAACCCTCTTTGACGAATCCTACTTTTGTGATTCTTGCAGGTCGACCAAACGGCATTCTAAGGTTTTGATTATGCGAAGGCTCTAGCAATCCGGTGATATTTTGTACCATTTCTACTTGGTAATCTACAGCAATGTCTTGGGACCAGTTCGTGATCGAATAAAATTGCATTCTTTTTTTTCTCAATCATACAGACGGGCGAATTGGAGGTGAACAACCCACTCTTCAAAGACGAGCAAAGCTCTTCTCCAGCACCTGCTTTGCTCTCCGACCATCGCGTCGAGGCGAAAAGGCAGAACAGCTCATCTAAGACGTCCACAAATGCAAAAGAGCTCTCCTAGCCTCATCGCTGACCGTCCTGAAGATGACGTCCTATTTCGAACAGGGAATATCTTCTTCATCTGACACTTCAATTTCCCATTTAGGCCAAATATTTGTTTCATGAGCCTGATTGTAGACATGTTTCCATCTTTCACATCATCGCACCAAATCCCTTTCAAAATAGTGCCCATCCCACACACTTTGCAACTTGTTCAAAAATGTGTAACAAGACTTTGATGCCCTCATTGCTGATGCTGTTACTACTCGGTTCAACTTCTATTTGGGAGTTAAAAGAGAAAACAAATTGCGGCTGTCGATTATTTGACATTATTTCGCGTGAGAGTTGCTTAGGCGCTAAGCTTGAAATGGCCAAAGTCGTAACCTGTCGTCTCTTGGCGATGTCGGTTGGGTGGGAAAAAGGTATCTTCACTTTAGCCCACTTTGTCGCTTCCTTTCACTATTCTTTAAAGAACGCTTTGCAAGTAGATACTTTTTATGTACCGTTGAACTGAAATATGGAAGAAGTAACCTCCATCCACCTTTTTGGAAATTGGACGCTACCAGCCAACATGATTAAAATGAGTTACGTGGAATTAATTTAAGTTAACTTGGTTGCCCGGTTTTATTCTGCATCCTTGTCCATCTTTCTCCTCACTTCTTCACACACACACACAAACACACATACACACATACACTTGATGGAGAACTGCGGATCATGTGTATTGAATAATGCGCTCTATTCTTGATCCTTTTTGATGTTGTGGACGGGAACAGATGAGTGTGAAAGTGAATTTGAGTAATTACACATGTCTTTCATTTGCTCCAATTCTGATGCCATTCAGCATATTTCTGATCTCTGCTCACAATGACATTGCTTTTGCTGACGTCTTTGATATTTTTTCTAGTTGTCTGTCATTCTTCAACTGTTCTCCATTTTTCATTATGCATTAAAACAGGATAAGGGATCCAGAATTTCTGTCAACATTCGATCTGCACAATGTGCTCTGTTTGCAATTGTGAATGAAAGTGTGACGGTGGTTAGAATGGCGGGATTCAGACGAGAAAATTGAAATCGCTGAATGGCAGCTACCACTCCAAACCGGTCAGACCTTTATCCGTTATCAGTCGACATGACCAGAGGTCATTCGTCCGAGTGAACAGCCCAGATTGCCGTCTCCATGACAACAGAATGATGCGAACGATCAGCTTGTTTTAGAGGTGAATAATGGGAGTTCAGTAATGTCTAGATTTACCGCCAACTCAGCAAACATTTTGATATCATATACAGATTTAGTTGGACCAAAGATTGTTGACTAACTGTAGGGATTCCTATTCCTTTATCGTCCTTGTGACAAGGACTTTAAACGGAATAAGAAAAGAGTACTAGTTTACCTTCTCGTGTGATTTTCATTATTCAGAAGGAGGCTAAATTGGGCTCTATTATACATTTTCTTCCAAACGATGCTTTTAAAACTAAACTTACGAGTCCGAAGTAATTGGTTCTTAAGAGTATGATGCATTTGGATAAAAATCAGTTGGCTGGAAAATAAGATCGACTGAAAGAGTTGTTCCACCAAAGCCATCAGCCTCTAGGCCAAAGTAAAAATAGTATTTCTATAATAACATTTTTTTTGGTATGAGAAGACATCCTGAGGTATTTTCTCATGTCCTTATTGAAAAGCCACGCCTTTTCCACAAATAAATGGAGAATAGCGCTAATTTTGTAATGTTATCTTCTAATTAATCTGAGCCAACATTTTTGTTTTTGTACTAATACGTACACACGATGGCATATTAACACACACACACACACATGCGTATAGATTGAAAATATCTCTAACCAACCAAATGCATATGTATGTATGTATGTATGTATGTATGTATGTATGTATGTATGTATGTAT